GCCCCATGATAAATGTACTCTTAATCCCCATCACCTATTTCACCCATTTCCCCCCTACCTCCCCTCTGGTAACCACCAGTTTGTTCTCTATAGTTGAGAGTCTGTTTTTTGGTTTGTCTCTTTTTTCCTTCGTTTTGTTTCTTAAGTTCCACATAGGAGTGACATAGGTATTTGTCTTTTTCTGACTGACTTATCTTTCTAGGAATAAAATTTAACATATATAGTAACAATACAGATAAAACTTTGAAACAATTGAGAGATGTATCATATTTTGCTGATTATAAATGTACTTTAACATCTCTGAAATCAAGATACATCTTCTAATTTAATTGGTAATATTTTCTCTTTTAGTGGTAAATAAAATAATAGTGCAATATTGTTTTCTTAAGTTTGATGAAATATAGTAAAAGAAGACTTTAATAAATAGCCAAACATCCCATGTTCAACTATAAGAAAATTCACTGTTGTAAAGTGACAGTTCTTCCCCCAAATCATTTATCAATTTCATGTAGTTATCATCAAAATAATTTCAACTTCTTCTCTTTTTGGTGGAACAAAACGATTCTAAGCTTCTTCTAGAAGAGAAATGCCATGGTAATACCATTTGGGGAAAGTATATTCTTGTATATGTTTTGAATTACAATTTGGCAATGCTCACCTAATTTACAAGCGATTGTTACTGCTTGGAATTTATCTTTAAGGAATACCTCAAGGCATTTTTAGAAAAATGTATATTGTAGCATTGTTTAAAATAGAAAAAATTAGATATATAAAATTCCATAAAAGAAAGGACTGGTTAAAGAAGTTGTAGCAGGGGTGTTTGCAAAGTTCTTTTTTTTTTTTTTTTTACCTAGGTGGTGGTTACACAGGATTCACTGCATAATAACTATTTTTTAAAAGTGTTATTTATTTAAGTAATCTCTACATCCACTGTGAGGCTCAAACTCACAACCCTGAGATCAAGAGTCACACGCTCCCCCAACTGAGCCAACCAGGTGCTCCTCACTGCCTAGTTATTTATTAAGTTATATCTTTGTTCTATGTACTTTCTGTATATATATTTCACAATAAAAGTAGCTAAAATTAATAACATCCATGTTTAGGAATACTATGAAACACTATACAATCAATAAAATAATTGGGTAAATCTATGAGTAAGGTACTTACATATCACTCAGATTCAGCCTTGTGCTTGCATATATTTGCAGCACATTCATTTTCACCACTGAATAATATTCCACTATGTGAATAAACTACAATATATTTATCCATTGTTGTGACAATAGATAATTTGGTTGTTTCCTGTTTGGGGCTATTACAAATAGTAATCTATGACAAGTCACAGGGATCTCTCCAGTTACATACATCTGATGCACACGTACACATTTTGCGCTAGAAACTAGAAAGAATTACTACCTGGTAGAGTATGCAAATGACCAACTATACAAGGTAATGCCAAATTTGTTTTCCAAAGGGATTTAGCCCATTGAATTCATAGCAGCAATGTACACCAGATTCTGATACTACAACCTCTCCAACATCTGGTATTTCAATTAAATGGTGTAAGATGGTATCTACTTGTGGTTTTGATGTGCATTTTGCTCATTGCTGATGGGTTGAACATCTCTTCATAAGTTCATTGGACATATGCATTTCCTTTTCTGAGAAATATATCTTTATCACTATTGTTCATTTGTCTACTGGGTGGTTTGTCCTTTTAAAAAATTGTGTAAGTTCATTATATATTCTTGATACCAATCTTTTGTCAGCTACATGGATTTGCAATCTTCTTCTAGTTGAATCTTTTCACTCTCTTTAAGGTATCTTTTGAGGAACAGAAGTTCTTAACTTTAATGTAGTGAAACTTATCAATCTTTTCATTTAAGGTTAATACTTTTACGTCTAATTTAGGAAATCCTTTCCTATCTCAATGACACAAAATTATTCATGGACATCTCTTTCTCTCTTTCTAAAAGTTCAAAAGGCTTGTTCCTGACATTTAAGTCCTTAAACCTTCTGGAAATGATTTATATAAATAGCATATATATGTAATATAAATAGAAGTCTAGTTTTATTCTTTTTTGCATATGAATGAACAACCAACACATTCCAAAGCAACCAGAGATGAATTACCTGGAAAGTAACGTTTTTGCTGTTCTTTCAGACATTCCAAATTCTTATGAGTGCACACAGTCCTGCTACGTGGTGTGGTGGATGACAAACTCAGTGCAAGGACCATCTCAGAAAATCTGGAAAGATCTTAGGAAACAAGAAGCAAGAGTTCAATATGCAAAAAGGCAGACGCCAACTTATAGCTGAGCTGTGTTGCAAAGCCTTTCACTTCATCTTGGAATTCAAAGCTTTGGCCCACAGATCCTTGTGTCTACATCCTAAGTCAGCTTAGGAAAGCTTACTTCTATCTTGGGGGAGTAGGAGGACATACCAGTATGGAGCAATAGTTTTCATTTTTAATTTTAATTGTATTCTATTGAAACAAACTTTATATTTTTAGAATGTTTATGTTTTTAAATGTAGGATTAGAAGTATAAAGGTCAATAGATACAGATTTCTGAGAAGACTCTGAAATGGACTTTGTTTTTCTGGACTTCTGAAGAAGTTACCACTAATTTATTTTGTCTAATTTCATCTTGAGCTTTCCTTTTCCAAGGGGGATGCACATCATCAACACTTGCTCTGGTTTATCAGTCACGGTTAGTGTTGGCTCTGAAAAGGAAAAGTCAGAAAGGAGGGGGCCAGCCACGGATAGGTTGTATTTGAGTTCAGAATGGAAGTGGGGCAATGAGAAAGAGAGAATGTTTAATCCAGGCAACAAGAATGGAAAGGCAGGGGAAAGTGGCAGTAAGTTAAAGAGGACACATATGTACATGTGGAAAGGAATTTCCTAAATAATTAAATGAATTCATATTCAGAAAGGAAAAGAAGAGACCTGAATAAGAACACAAGAAAGGGTATGAAAATAAAAATTACTAGGTCAGACAGCCCCCTGCACCAACCTCTAGTAGGTCTCCTAGCCCAAGGCAACATCTTTTTGTTGAATGCTGGGTATTCAAAATGGGCAGAGGGAATGAAGGGCAGTGACCTACCAACTGTAGCAATTGGAAATAATAAATCAAGCATCTGCAATTCAGAGAGTACCTCTCTTTCCCTAGATTCTAAAATAATATCCCCTTCCTCCCTCCCCACCTCTCCCCCTTGCCCCCAGCAAACATTGCAATCGTTGTGGATTCTTCTCCCTGACCTGGATCAGCCTCCATCATCCAAGCTATCCATTCCTTTGTAACCAGCTGTTTCACACGATTGTCCTTCACCTGCCAGGAACTTGGCACTTTGGCAAACACTGCACAGCAAAATCGTTCCACCTTGACTGCACAGACATATCCATGGAGGGCCCCCTTATTGTGCACTTCAAGGAATTTGACAGCATATTTTATCTCATGCCTCTGTGTACAGAAATGATGGACAGGTAGTTTCCTAATACAGTAATCAATAGAGCGACACAAGGTGACAAGATCTATTTTCTCCTTTTCACATCCAACGACTTGATTGGTCTCATCATGCACACCAAAAAATATATACCCTCCTTCGGTGTTTGCAAATGCAGACACACAACTGGGGAGACTCTCATTAAAGCACTGGGACACCTCTGCTGAGAACATTTTAAATTCAACGTGGAGGGACTTAGTAAAGTTGAGCTTTTCTAGGAACTGAAGGTGAGTTCTAGCAAATAAAGCAGCAGCTGAGGCCCTTATGTTACCATCATTTTGTACACCAACCCGAACTTTCTGGGGACTTAACGAATTGGAATCATTAGTATTCACAGGAGTCTGAGATCTCCCTTTGAGGAACGTCAGTGCTTCCTGAGAATTCATGACATCAGTCGATGCTCTGTATCTGTGGTACAAATTGGAGGACAAGGTTGCCAGCCGTACACCAGAGGCCTCGGCGTTCCATGACTTCACAAAAATAAAAAAGAGGTCTCCCTGCTGCATCTCATCTAAATAGCCTTTAAAAATTGAAGGCATTTTCAGTCCTACTCCATGGATTTCATAATTGTAGTCTTTGTTCTCAATCTCAGCCTTGACCACTCCGCCACCAGAATTCAGTAGAGCACATATTGCATTCATGATGATTTTATTCTGTTTCTTCTGCAATTGAGGCTTCATTTCGTTCCTTTGCTTATTCCCAAGGATGACTTTTCCTACATTTAAGACACATTCGGCAAAGTGTGTTTCCACCTTGACACTCATCTTCTCAGCACTTGTCCTATTCCTACTGTGAAAGGTTCTCCTAAAAAAACAGGAAGATAGAACCATTAGAATAGGACAAGAATAGGGGAAATGAGAAAACCGATAGTTTGAGGCCACTTTTCTGAAGTTGGTCACTTCCTTTCTGCCCACAGAGTTTGAAGCCAGGCTCATGCATGAAATAAGTGTGGAGGACAGGTGGAGGAGCTAAGTCTGCTGGAAGCCCACTACCACCAGAGAAATGATCAAGAGGCTATTTTTATGCTGTGATTTTAGTAACTGTTTGTACCAAGATCTCTGAGGGCAGTGTCTCCCGGTTCACCTGCAGAAAACAAGAAATTGTAGATACATGAAGACTAAAGCTGGAATGTAAATGGAAGGCTTTCACTGTCAGAGGTGTCTCTGGAGTGTGCTGATGTTTATTGCTTTTCTTGGTGCTCTTTCTCCTCCCATTGAGATCTGGGCAATTCTTAGTTTATTTTGTAGCCCAATTTGAAGAAGGAGCAAATCTGATTGAGTTGATAATTTGTCATTGTTGCTATGGAACAGACTCTTTAGCTTTCCCTGGTCCAAGCAGTTCTCATCTCATGAAAAAATATATGTAAATTAAATATAAGTATATATATAATTTGTTTGAAACTAACAGACAAATTATTGACTGTTTGGATCAACCAAGCTGGTGGGTAAAGGTGGGCTTTTGACATTTCCTAAACTGAGTGACAGGGTGCAGACACACCATCTTTGCAACCACACCTCAGGACAGAAGGGCAAGTGTGAGTGACACACATCCCCACAGCTGTCAATCTTCGATTCATCTGTGGCAACCGAGGAAAGAGAAGGAGTCACTAGACCAATGCACACATCATTACACAGTCCTCTATCAAGGGTACTTTGCTGTGAACCAAGCTGTCATGCTATCTGACACTCCCCTCAACTTCCTTCCTCAAAAGTTCAATGCAGGGAACAAAAGATGCAACCCAAGATAGAAGCAAACACAATCCCCTGGACAAGTGTGAAGGGAGACCCCAGAGTGACAGCTGTGGGGCAGGCCTAGAGGATTACCAGCCAGAATGGGAGCAAGATGGCAGCAGGCTTCAGTGGGTGGCACGTGAGACTATACAACTGATGGACTGCTTAATGAGTTAGTCAGCTGAAGAGGTAGAGAGTTTGGGGGTGGATGAGTAATAGGGACTTAGGAAAATATGTAAACACAAAGATAAGACAATAACTCTAAGTTTAAAATGAAAAATAGTATAAAAGAGAAAACATAGCCATAAGCCATGATATGGCATAGCTGTAAACAAAATGACAGTCATAATGTTATCAACTCTGAATATTGTTCTGATCAGGGGCGCCTGGGTGGCTCAGACGGTTAAGCGTCTGCCTTCGGCTCAGGTCATGATCCCAGGGTCCTGGGATCGAGCCCCGCATCGGGCTCCCTGCTAGGCGGGGAGCCTGCTTCTCTCCCTCTGCCTCTGCCTCTCTCTCTCTCTCTGACTTTCATGACTAAATAAATTAAAAAAAAAAAATTAAAAAAAAAATACTGTTCTGATCAGAAATGATGATATCATCATACTGGCAGGATGTGGGGAGAGAAAGGGTAGTGAAGTGTGAAAGGGTAGTGAAGTGTGAGGGAGCGAGATCATCAGCTCTGGAAAAAGACAATATCTAAAAGGGGGCAGGGGAGATGTGTGAGCATGAGCATGTTGTTTAGAAATATATTTAAAATTGCTGAAAGAAAAAGCCAAAGAGGCAAGAGGTTGCCTAGAGAGCAGAAGAAGGAGGCAGAGTAAAGGGCCACTGATTTTCTCACTATGTCTTATGAAACTTTCAAAACTACATATATGAGACTTCCTCCCAGACAGAACAGAATACCAGGGACCAGATTACTTTCCTGTCTAAAACAACAAAAATATTTTTAAAGAAATAATGGCTGGAAAATTTCCAAATTTGATGTAACTTGTAAAAAATTAAGATCAAGATCCAAGATATTCAACAAGCTCCAAGTACTAGAAACATGAAAACTACACCAAAGTGCATCAAAATTTAGTTGATTAAAGCCAAAGATAAAGACAAAATCTTCAAAGCAACCAGAGGAAAAAGATACATCACACAAAGAACAGAGGATGACGTTACAATTTGTTGTCAGAAACAAAGCAAAAAGATAATGGATCAACATCTTTAAACCAATGAAAGAAAAAAAGAGAATTATGAACCTAGAGCTCTATACCCAGGGAGAATACCTTTCAAAAATTCAGTTAATAACAAAAAGACCATCAATTGTTTAAATGGACAAAGGACTTGAACAGATGTTTTTCCAAAGAAGAGGAACAAAGACCATTAAGCATATGAAAAGGTGCTCAATATTATTAGTCATTAGGGAAATGCAAACCACAACCACAATGAGATACCACCTCACACCTATTAGAATGGTGATGGTGATGATGATGATGATGGTGGTGATAAAAGGAAAATAAGTGTCAGTGAGGATTTAGAGAAATTGGGATCAGCATACACTGCTGGTGAGAATGCAAAATGACGCAACCATTGTGGAAAGTAGTTTGGAGATTCTTCAAAAAGTTAAACATAGAATTACCATATGACCCAGCAATTCTACTCTAAAATACATACCAAACAGAATTGAAAACAGGTACTCAAATCTGCCAGATTCAAATAGGTCATGAATGTTCATAGGAGAACTATTCACAATAGCCAACAGGTGGAAAGAACTCAAATGTCTATCAGCAGATGAACAGATAAACAAAATATTCTACAATCCATTCAATAGAATATTTTTCTGCCCTAAAAAGGAATGAGGCTGAGTGAAATAAGTCAATCAGAGAAAGACATGTATCATATGATCTCAGTGATATGAGGAATTCTTAATCTCAGGAAACAAACTGAGGGTTGCTGGAGTGGTGGGGGTTGGGAGGGATGGGGTGGCTGGGTGATGGACATTGGGGAGGGTATGTGCTATGGTGAGCGCTGTGAATTGTGCAAGACTGCTGAATCACAGACAGACCTGTACCTCTGAAACAAATAATACATGTTAAAAAAAAAAGAAGAAGAAGAAGATAGCAGGAGGGGAAGAATGAAGGGGGGAAATCGGAGGGGGAGACGAACCATGAGAGACTATGGACTCTGAATAACAAACTGAGGATTCTAGAGGGGAGGGGGGTGGGGAGATGGGTTAGCCTGGTGATGGGTATTAAAGAGGGCACGTTCTGCATGGAGCACTGGGTGTTATACGGAAACAATGAATCATGGAATACTACATTAAAAACTAATGATGTAATGTATGGTGATTAACATAACATAAAAAAAAGGAATGAGGTACTGATACATGCTTCAACACGGATGAACCTTGAAAACATTATGCTAAGTGAAAAAAGCCAGACACAAAAGATCACTGTTATTTACCATATATTTATGTCCCCCTAGAATTCATATGTTGAAACCCTAACCCCAGGGCGCCTGGGTGGCTCAGTCATTAAGCGTCTGCCTTCAGCTCAGGTCATGATCCCAGGGTCCTGGGATCAAGCCCCATATCGGGCTCCCTGCTCTGGGGGAAGCCTGCTTCTCCCTCCCCCACTCCCCCTGCTTCTGTTCCCTCTCTCGCTATGTCTCTCTCTGTCAAATAAATAAATAAAATCTTTAAAAAAAAGAAGAAAAAACCCTAACCCCTATTGGGATGGATTAGCAGGTGGGTAACTAGAGGTAATTAGAGTGGCGCCCTCATGATGAGATTAGTGTCATTGTAAGAAGAGAGAGAAGAGAGCTTGCTTCCTCTCTCTCTGCTCTTTCCACCATGGCAGCTGTCTGCAAACCAGGAAGTTTCCTCACCAGATACCACATCTGCCAGCACCTTGATCTTGGACTTCCTAGCCTCCAGAACTGTGATAAATAAACGTTTGTTGTGTAAACCTTCCCAGTCTATGGTATTTTTGTCATAGCAGCCTGAACTAAGACAGCTACATATCATAAAATTTCATTTATGAGAAATATCCAGAATGGATAAAATCATTGAAACAAAGAAGATGGTTGATTGCCAAAGGCTAGGAGAACAGGGGAATGGTAAGTAGCTGCTCAGTTGGGTTTTATCCGGGTGTGATGAAAATGTTTTGAAGCTTGATGGAGGTGGTGGTTGTACAATATTGTGAATGTACTAAATGCTGCTGATTTGTTCACTTTAAAATGATTAATTTTTGTTATGTGAGTTTCATCTCAATTTTAAAAATTAATCAAAAAAGGTAAAATAAAAACTTTCTCAGACATATAAAAGCTGAAAGAATTTATTAAGAATGCAATGTAAGGGGTGCCTGGGTGACTCAGTCATTAAGCGTCTGCCTTCGGCTTGGGTCATGATCCCAGGGTCCTGGGCTCCCTGCATCACGGGAAGCCTGCGTCTCCCTCTCCCACTCCCCCTGCTTGTATTCCCTCTCTCGCTGTCTCTCTCTCTGTCAAAAAAATAAATAAAATCTTAAAAAAAAAAAAGAATGCAATGTAAGAAATGGTGAAGAAAGTCTTCAGTCAAGAGGAAAATGATACTAGTTGGAAAATGAATATACACAAAGCAAGGAAGACCACTGGAAATGGTAACTACAAGGGTAAATATATAAGATATTTTAAAGATTTAACCCTCTCAAAGAAGAATAAAACCGGAATACTAACATCAACTGATTTCAATTAATTAACTTATTATACAGTTACAGTAACCAAGATAGTATAGAACCAGTATAAAGACAAATAAATAGATTCATGGAATAAAGAGTCTGGAAATAGACCCACATACATACGGATAGGAAGTGTTTTTTTGTTTTGTTTTGTTTTTAAAAGATTTTATTTATTTATTTGAGAGAGAGACTGAGAGAGAGAGAGCATGAGAGCGGGGAGGGTCGGGAGGGTCAGAGGGAGAAGCAGACTCCCTGCCAAGCAGGGAGCCCGATGCGGGACTCGATCCAGGGACTCCAGGATCATGACCTGAGCCGAA